CTCCTGTTTCTTGTCGTTAGATGTGGTGGCGATTACGTGACAGCCCTTCAGTAGAGCCCATTGGGCGGCGATATGTCCGACACCTCCCGCCGCCGCTGTTATCAACACTTTTTCTCCTGAAGCCAAATGCGAGCCTTCGGACAGACCTATGGATGCCGTCAAACCACTGGTGCCGAAGAGGGCTAAGTATTCCGGGTCTGGCTTTGGGATGACTGTCAGGCCGTCAGCAGAGGTCACATACTTTTAGATCATATGAATGGCGAGTATAGGAAGTGTTAGAAAGTTAAATATTTAAAAAAAAGTATAAACAACTAGCGGTAATCACCAAATACTCTGAATATGCCCGCAGTTGACCACATTTGACAACCAGGTACTGACCGACACTGTAGTTCGTGACAGCGCTTCCAGTTTTAACAATTTGACCAAGAGCCTAATCAATCAAGAAATCAACAAAATTAATGATAATTAAGATAATTATGAAAATTGTGGTCAAATCTGAATCATTACTTCAAACCCCAAGGGATAGGGCGGGTCGTCGTGTTTGAAATAACGTCCGGCAGTGATGTTCAGATCCGTGGCATTGATGCCCACAAAGAGATTCTTCACAAGTATTTCATCACTTTTGGGATCCACTAAATGCAGCGAAACTATTTTAGTCGCCTCAGCAAAGTTGGTCGAGTAGTTGAACACCTGGATCTGTTTGTAGTGACTGTTGGCAGACATTCTTCGTATGGCGTATGCGTTGACACAAACTTTGGGAAGTTTTGCGGTTTTTGTTAAATACAGACAAATATGTTATGAGTTTTCTGCCAAACATTGACTTAACGTGAGCTCAAGAGTTGCGTTCAATTTATATACGAAATGAGGTTTAGTTTGAAAATAGAGTTCATTTCATGATAACAAATTCAAGTATGAATTCAATTAAAGTGTTTTAATCAAAACATTGAATGCGAGTCGACTCACTACTGCATGTCCTTGGATATTATCGCTCCGGCTTACTGTTATTAAGCCAATTACCACAGAGCGAATGATAATCAAAAAGTTTTGGTATATTACTAGTTATTATGCGTCTGAATATATACCGTAGTAGTTGTCCTCAATTAGTACTCAAGAGTTAAAAAATACTTATCCAGGACTTCTCAATACTGTATTTCATCAGTATATTGTAATCTAGTATAGTTATCTCGAAATATTAATTATTTCATTTACATAACTCTTGATGTTAACCATGAATTAACTAATTTAATGTATAAGTAAAATTTTATCAATAGATATAATGCAATATTTATAATAAAAACTTTATATTAAAACTATAACATAAAGAAATCAATTATACTATTTGTATCATCAATTTAATTGCACTAATATTGCACTCCAATAGCATAGCTATTACTACAGTATAAGTCAAATGAATTTCAACATTAATAGCAGTTTATTGTGATTTTAGCTAAAAATATACACAATTTATAATCAACTTATTTATTAGTCAACAAATTGCCGGACTTTGTGTCTCTGAATAGCGGTCTTTTCTCTTCAAATGTAGGGCCAGTTTGACGTATGTCTGTCCACTCGGTGGAGGGAATATCATTTTGGACTTCTCTGAGACAGTAGTCTCAGTGCACAGGCTTTTGGTTAACATTACCTTTAAATCATAGCAGCATTTGTACAGTAATACTAAGACAACCAGTAATGTGAGGAAAGGTATGATAATGTATTGAAAGTCCACTATAATTGTCTCGAACCACCACTCGGTGTCCAAAATCTGGTGATAATGACGGTCCAAATGAGCGACCGTTGAATTCAAATGACTTATACTTTCATTACTTATCAAAAAGTATAAACTTTTCATTTCTACACCACTTGACTATAAATGATTACGAATTGAATGTGAATTTTAAGATTTTTATTTATTTGTATAAAATGGTCACAAATAAGTGATTTTTAATTAAAGTCAATGTTTGTAATCTTGTGTTGAAAATGAAATACATTTGATTTCGTATTACATATCAATTCATATTACCATATGTTATATAAAAGTCTCGTTTTAAACAATTAATACAAAAACTAATGAATCATTGAATAAAAATTCCTATAATTAGCAAAAGGGTTATAATAATAATGAATACAATGTTTAAGAGATTTTCTCATAAGAAAAACAATACAATTTGAAATAAAAACTTGTGATT